TTAGTTCACTAAATAGTAGGTGGAGTTTAGTGATTTTTTTTTCTTCTTAGTTCATCTATAGTTTCTCATTTTTTCTACAATGAACATGTATCACATGTACATTTTAAGGACAACAAGGAGCAGGGATTGTGTTACTGTTTTTATCAGCTTTCTATTTTGAAAAGTTTAGGAAGAACAATCCAACAGAATCTTTTGGAATTAGTAAAGCAAACTAGCAGGCTAACTAGGGTCTGGTCTTGTGGAACAGCGGGTTAAGCCAGAGGCTGTGATGCCAGCACCCATACTGGAGTGCTGCTTTTGAGGTCCGGCCGCTCTGCTTCAGATCCAGCTCCCTGCTAATGCGCTTGGGAAAGCAGCAGATAACGACCCATGTCCCAGGGCCCCTGTCACACACCTGGGAGCTCTGCACAGAGTTCTGGGCTCCTGGCTTCGGCATGGCCCATTGTACCATTTGGGGGAGTGAACCAGTGGATGGAAGATCTCTAACTCTCTCTCTGTAACTCTGACTTTCAAATAAATAAATAAACTTAAAAAAACCTAGGTTAGAAATGAAAGTGTCATTATCCCTATGACAACAGTCATGATGATGTTTGGAGGAGGAGGATGCTTCTGTGAGTGGCTTTCAAGGTGCTTCCTGAAAGTTCAGAGCCAATGCATACGTTGTTACTGAAACGTGCAAACTGCCCCATTTTGCAGATGGACAAACCTGACACTTCTGGAGACCCCTCCAGTTGGATTCAGCAGCCCTCCGCACCTGTCTTGTAAGCCCACCGCATGCACAGCTCCCAACCTTCGCACCCCCAGACTGTCATGATTCTCTTTTCATGCAGCTTATCCCCCCACTAGACTGTGAGCTCTTTGAGAGAACCAGATCTGAACACAAACTTCTCAGTACAAGTTTGATAAGTTCTTTATTTTTATTGCATTTTTGAAGATTTATTTGAAAGACAGAGTTACAGAGAGAGGGGGAGAGAGACAAAGAGAGGTCCTTCATCTGCTGGTTCACTCCCCAAATGGCCACAACAGCCAGGGTGGGGCTAGATTGAAGCCAGGAGCTTCTTCTGGGTTTCCCATGTGGATGCAGGGGCCCAAGCACTTGTGCCATCTTCCACTGCTTTCCCAGGTGCATTAGCAGAGAGCTGGATCAGAAGTGGAGCAGCCAGGACTCGAATCGGTGCAGGCGGTGGTTTTTTTTTTTTTTTTTAATTTGACAGAGTTATAGACGATGAGAGAGAGAGACAGAGAGAAAGGTCTTCCTTCCATCGGTTCACTCCCCAGATGGCTGCTATGGCTGGCGCTGCGCTGATCCGAAGCCAGGAGCCAGGTGCTTCCTCCTGGTCTCTCATGCGGGTGCAGGGCCCAAGCACTTGGGCCATCCTCCACTGCCCTCCAGGGCCACAGCAGAGAGCTGGACTGGAAGAGGAGCAACTGGGACTAGAACTTGGTGCCCAAATGGGATGCTGGCGCTGCAGGCGGAGGATTAGCCAAGTGAGCCACAGCACCGGCTCCAGCAGGTGGTGGTTTAACCCACTCTGCCACAGTGCTGGCCCCAAGTTTGATGAGTGGATAAAATGATTCATTGTCCACCTGGCTCTTTATGGTGTCTAAGAGTAAAGTTGAAACACTCATTTATTTTTCCTTCAACACTTTCCATTTTTGCCTATTCTCTGCTCTGAAGTGTGAAAACAAATGGTCCTTATGTATGAACCTATATTCTCATTGCCATTTTTTTATTCCCTTAGACATTTTCATCTTGGTTTTAGCCTTTGGATGGGACACTTGTAAAATGGATGATAGTTTCTGCTTTTGTTCTGTCACTTTCCAGGAGCTTCTTCAAGATTAGCTATAAACTATGCACACACACACACACACACACACACACACATGTGTTAGCTATCCTTGGGGCAGGCATTTGGCCTAGCAGTTAAGGCACAAGTTAAGACACCCACACCCCACATCAGAGTGCCTGAACTAGATTCCCAGCTCTAGCTCCTAGCTCCAATTTCCTGCCAATGCAGATTTGGGAGGCAGCAGTGATGGCTCAAGTCATTAGGCTCCTGCCACCCATATGTCAGACCTGGATTGGGTTCTCAGCTCTTGGATCCATTGTGGACATTTGAGAACCAGAAAGTGAGAGCTCTCTTTTTTTTTTTTTTTTTTTGGACAGGCAGAGTGGATAGTGAGAGAGAGAGAGAGAGAGAGAGAGAGAGAGAGAGAGAAAGGTCTTCCTTTTTTGCCATTGGTTCACCCTCCAATGGCCGCTGCGGCCAGCGTGCTGCGGCCGGCGCACTGCGCTGATCTGAAGGCAGGAGCCAGGCGCTTCTCCTGGTCTCCCATGGGGTGCAGGGCCCAAGCACTTGGGCCATCCTCCACTGCACTCCCAGGCCACAGCAGGGAGCTGGCCTGGAAGAGGGGCAACCGGGACAGAATCCAGCGCCCGGACCGGGACTAGAACCTGTGTGCCGGCGCCGCTAGGTGGAGGATTAGCCTTTTGAGCTGCGGCGCCGGCCGAGAGCTATTTATATACTATTTTTTAATTTTTTAAAAAGATTTTATTTATTTGAAAGAGTTACACATGGGGCTGGCACTGTGGTGTAGTGGGTAAAGCCACCACCTGCAGTGCCAGAATTCCATATGGGTGCCGGTTCAAGTTCCGGCTACTCCAGCTGTCTGCTGGATCCAGCTCTCTCCTATGGCCTGGGAAAACAGTAGAAAATGACCCAAGTCCTTGGACCCCTGCACCCATGTGGGAGACCCGGAAGAAGCTCCTGACTCCTGGCTTCGGATCAGCACAGCTCCGGCCGTTCATTGTGGCCAATTGGACAGTAAACCATTGGATGGAAGACCTCTCTCTCTCTCACTTTGTCTCTCTCTCACTTTCTCTGCCTCTTCTCTCTGTGTGTAATGTGCTCTCTCTCTCTCTCTCTTTAAGGATTTATTTATTTATTTATTTGAAATCAGAGTGGTTCCAATCTAGACAGGTATTTTTTTTTTCAACCTTCTAAGCAAGTGTGTGAGTCTGTTAACTGATTTTAACTTTTTTTTTTTTTACAGTAACTTCCATGAGGGCACTTCAAATAGGTCATGGAAAATAGATTTAAAGGCTAAGTATATTTTGATGAAAATTTGTGGAATTCATGCATAGTTTTTTCCTAACACACATTCCCCATGAACTTTTTGAAGACTCATTGCATGCATGGATTTCAAAATTTTTTGCACCAAAATAAACTTATCTTTTATTTATTAATGCTTATTTATTTGAGGAGAGAGAAACACCCATCTGCTGGTTCACTCCCCCAAATACCCATAATGGCTGGGTTGGGTCTGGCCAAGCAGGAGTCAGGAACTCGAGGCAGGACTCCTACAGGGTGGCAGTCACATGTTACAGACATTCGCAGGTTGGGCCTTTGGGAGATGAGATGAGGTCCTGAGGCTGGAGTCCTGGGATGGCATTAGTGACTTCCTAGGGGAAGAGGGAGCCCACTAGCTCTCTCTGTCTCACCAAGTGACGCCAGGGCTGAGCTCCTGGGCTTCCCGAGCTCTTGAGCTGAGCTAACTGAGTCTCTGTCCAGGTATTTCCATTATAGCAAGACAAGACGACGGGCTAAGACGGGAATGCTGGGAATGTTTTCATCCCTTTATTAACTAAAGACAAACACACACACACCCGCAGTTCCTGCAAGCTGTGCCTTCCGCGACCCTGATAAGCACGGGTCGGTTTGTGACCCCGATTCATCTTGTGCAATTCCTACGCCATGGGTCCTCTGACACAAACCCCTACCCAACCCCCTTCCAGGTCACCCTCCCAAACTCTGTTCTTCTGCTCCCATCTGGCAGGAATCTCAGGAGCTGAAGAGAGAAGCGGCTGAAACGAACCCTCCTTTTTCTGGCGGCCAAATCCTAATTTCCTATCGCCCAAAGCCACCACCATGTCAATCCATTGCCTTTTAAGCTTTAGGGTACAGACCACGGGGTGGGAAAGGTACTTTTTAAAAATTCTGGTCTCAGAACTCCCTCCCTAGAGATGCTGATCCAAAAGTTTTGGGGGCTAGGGAATGGAGTCAGAACTCTCTTAATAATAATTAGTATAATTATCATCACAGGCTATCTTGACAAAGGTGGTCCCCCGTGTCACACTTCAAGAAGCACTGGAAAGAACCCCAGCTCTTTCTGGTTACTGGACAAGGACCCTTAACCAGCTGTGCACCCCCAAGATGTTCAGCTTGAGCGCTTTTTCTCCCCGAATGAAATCCAAGGCAGTTAGGCGAGTGAGCCACAGGTGCCTAAGAGGCTGATCCGCCACGGTCTCCGCGCGCAGGGAAGCTCTGACCCTACCCCCACCCCGCCCAGCCCCAGCTGCAAGCGGGAGCCCTGGCCGAAGGGCGTCCGCACCCTGCGCGCGCAGCCCCTTACCTGCCCACCACCAGGCTGGCGCCCTCCAGCACCGCCAGGCTGCGCAGCGCGTCCCCAGCCAGGAAGCGCTCGCCGCGGGCGCACACCAACACCACCTGCCGCGCGTTCTCCAGCAGGAGGCGGTGGTCGCACGCCATGTCGCCGCGAGGCCGCCGGGCTCTGACCCGCGGCGGGAGGGCGCGAGTCTGCCGGCTGCGCTTCCCGGTCTGGGAGGGTGGAGCGGGGGCGGGCGCTCGGAGCCGCTGCCCTGGAGGCCGCAGGTGCGTGCTCCCCTCCCCCTCGGGCACCGCAACCACAATTCCAAGAATTAGGAACTGGCCTCGCCATGGCATTCCCTCGTTTTTTGCACATTCAGGGTAAACGGAGTAGACCCTGTGGTCCCTACGTTTCAGATAAGGAAACGGTAGCCTGGCCACCCGAGGAGATGGCTGCGTCGGCCACGCGAGAGGGGGTCGCGGAGGGCTGAGGGCGCCCGGGGAGCTGGAGCGCGAACCTGGGACCAGGGCGGCGGGAGGCACACGGTGGGGAGAGGGGCTCGCTCGCTCGCTCTCTGCAGGGCCCGCGGATTGGGGGAGGGAGGGCGTGCGGCGCGGGGGCTGCGCTCGGGTCCGCGCGACCTCGAAGCGGGGTGGTGGGCGCCGCGCACTCTGCGGTTGACCGGCGCCGCTCCCGGACCGGCTGGCGGGCGGGCGGCCCCCAAGATGAAGGTGACCCGGGCGGGGGACGGGTAGCGCTGAGACCGCTGCCTCAGTTGGTGGCTCTGCGGACCGTCGGCCGACGGCTTCCTGCGGGATACAGCTCCAGATCCAAACACCTGGAGGTGGAACAGGTGCGAGGTCCGAGTCCACCCCGCCCCACCCCCATCCGACCCGACCCGAACTGACCTGAACTGCGTCTGGGCTGGGGGCTGGGGGCTAGGGGCTGGAGGTGGGGGTCCGCACGCAACTGGCGGCCCAAGTTGGAGACGGGTGATGTTTGTTTAAGGAGGATGACCGTAACTCTCTCGGGTCTCCGCCTGCCTATCATTGGCTGGGAAAACACCGGCGGGCACCAGGTTTTGGTTTGATTTCTTGATTATCTTATTTGGCTAATCCAGTACACTTGGGTTAGAAGCGCAGCGTCGGGTCTTGGGGAACGTACAAAGTCAGGAAAGCCAGAGGACTGCACAGTCAGATGGAAGCCAGACGCAGGCACCAGTAGTACACCGTAAAGGCAAGGTAACACTGCGAGACCGCAACATGGCAAAGGAAGTCAGTTTAAAAACGGAGGACAGAAAGCGAACCTTTAGATTATCACATTTAAAAATCAGGTGGGAAAGAAAACACTGGGAAGAGTTAGGCAATGGGAGTGAACGAGACTCAAAGGGGGAAAAAAATTCCAAATATTACAGCCCAGCTACACCATGGCAAACATTTTGTATACAGTTGTGTATACATATATGTACATAGTTGTGTAATGTATTATATGTATTACATGTGTATTATGTATACGGTATATTTAATACTACATGAGAAGTAGAAATAGAGGAAATAAGCACAAAAGTGCCTAACTGGTAGAGATGTGGAATTTTATAAAATTCTGCTAACGACAGCTAATGTGTGAACGTTTTGAAGTTGTAGATATTAGTAGCGTTTTGCAGTTATAGGTAAAATGAATGGGTTGAAATGGTAGAAAATTAGGAAACCTCGGGGTTCAACTTGTTTTCATCCCAGCTGTTACTCATGAGCTGTTTGACATCCAGTAATTTGCTTCACTTAGCCTCATTTTCTCAGCTTCATCTTGGGGAGAAACGTTTCTACTTGATGGACTTGTTTGAGCTTTAATATAAAATATGTCATTTAGCCCAATGCCTCACTCTAAACAAAGACTAGATGTTCTTATTCATTTCAATCCTGTTTGTCTTGCTGGTCAGCTAAGGATAGGGTTTCAGCCAGGAGTTCTGACTTCACAGAGTAAGCCATGTTCTTAAAGCTTGCAAGGCCCTGGCGAGTTTTCAGGCTACTTCATGGACGTTTATGTCCGTGGGTGCACTGAGTGCATCTGGTTAACAGTCCAGTTAGATGTTCCCTGAGCAGCTCCTGCAAACAAGAGGTTTGCAGAAACAGGAAGGGTAAGGGTGAGTCTGTCCTCCCGGTCCGTGTTGAGCAGTTACAAAGGCGGAAGGGTGGCCATTGTTGCCTTGGAAGACCCGACGTCTGTGTGGCTCGTCTCAGTTTGCTAAGTGCTCCCGTCCTCTGACTCACAGTGGCTGACCTGTCCCCAATCTTCCTTCCTCTGGACCTCCGCTTATTGATTTATCTTTCAGTTTGCATAAAGGGGCAGTCAGAAATGTCAACAGGGAACAGTTAGTTTGACGCCAGCCGGGCCTTCGAGATCAAGCTGAAAGTAATTTGGCAGACTCTGTGCTCTGCGGCTGACCTAACCAAGAGGAAGGCCATCCAGGAGGCCAAGGACCGAGCTCTCGGGTAAACAGAAAACTGCCAACGCTGCTCTCTCCACACCATCCAAGGACACAGTTCACAGCCTTTCCTAGTGTTTGTCTAAGGTGGGTGGAGAGGAGGTGGGAAAGCAATCTGAAAGGCACTGGGTCCCAGAGGACCTGGGAGAGGAGTGTAAGTTTTTATCCTGTGTTAGAAGAATCTGAGGACCCATTTTCACTGGGTTGCAGAGAGGGCTGTTGTGAGAATAAAACACAGGCGGCTTGGGGCACTAGGTCTTGCCGGCAGTGTTACTGTTTTTAGAGTTGGCCAGCGCTTGAGACTTGGACATTTCAAAGCCCCACTCCTCTTTCCCGACTTCCCCAGAGTAAGGAATGTTTAGGCTCTGCACGGGGGTGGGCCAGGTTTTCCAGTTTGCACTGACACGGCTGGTAGGTTGCTTGCAGATGGCCAGTTTTCAAGAATTTTGATTCAGAAAGTCTTAGCCAAAGCTGGATTCAGGAAGCCTTAGCCAAAGCTGGCCATTCTGCCTCCTCTTCTTTTCAGAGGCTGGGGGTCGGTCCCAAGGCAGAGCAGATGAGCACGATGTCTCTGCTTTGAAGAAAGCCTAAGTGTGTTCTATGCCCATCAGCCCACCATGAGCAGGCCTTGTGCCTACACTACCTGTGTTAGAACATTGCAACAAGTCCGAAAGAAAGGTGTTATTATCTCTGCTTGACAAGAGAAGAATCCCAGGCGCACTAAGTTTAAATCGATGAGTTTTAGAGAAAGCACTGATAACGAGAGGCAGAACGCCAAGGTCTTTGCACATTCCGACTGCCCCTGACTCAGTGACGGCATGTAATTGCATAAATGTCAGAGGAACACAGTATTAATTAAGTCAACTGGTGTGTTGATCACGTGATGGAGTGGAATATTTTACACCTGTAACTGATTCGGCTGACGAATTTAACGTACTCCTAACTGACCCTCTCGTCCCTACTCATCTCCATGGTTTCTTCCTTCACTGCCTTTTCTGTTGATGACAGTTCCATCTCAGTTCTTGCCAGTTCTGCAGGCTCTCCAAGTGCTTTCAAAGCCATGTCTACCAGTGTTAGTGTTTTTAGAGTTGGCCTAGAACTTTAGGGTTGGACCCTACAAAACCCCATTCCTCTTTCCTGAATCCCCCCAGAGCCTGGACTCTTAAGAATCTGCTCTTTATCTTTTTCACCCACTGACAGTTGGATTTGAATTTGGTTTAAGGCAAAAATTTTCAGAGTGGCTGTGCATCCAGTTAAACCGTCCCTTGCTTTTTCTTAAAACATGTATTTATTTGAAAGAGTTATAAAAAGGTATAGACAGAGATATCTCCCATCCACTGGTTCACTACCCATATGGCTGCAATGGCTGGAGCGGAGCCAAATCCGAAACCAGGAGCTTCTCCTGGGTCTCCTACATGGGTGCAGGGGTCCAAAGATTTGGGCCATCCTCTACTGCTTTCCCAGGTGCACTGACAGGGAGCTGAATTGGAAACAGAGCAGCTGGGACTTGAATGGGTGTCCATACAGGATGCTGGCATCGCAGCTGGCCGCTTTACCCACTATGCCATAGCTCCAGCCAGTCCCTGGGGTGACTTTAGATAGAAGAGTTGAAGGGGCAAAAGTGTGAGAGAGGTGAGCAGGCTCTTCACCATGGGGCTGAGTGTGGACTGTACATTTTTTAAACAGGTTAGTTGATTTCCTCTATATCAGCAGTAATCTATAGCAATAATTAGAATCGAGGAAATATTATTTACAACCACAGTTGAATATTGAAGTTCTTGAGCACAAATCTTTTTTTCTTTTTTTAAATATATATTTACTTATTTGAAAGTCAAGTTACACACAGAGAGAAGGAGAGGCAGAGAGAGATGGATCTTCCATCTGCTGGTTCACTCCTCAATTGGCCGCAAAGGCCAGAGCTGGGCTGATATGAAGCCAGGAGCCAGGAGCTTCTTCCAGGTCTCCTGCATGTGTGCAGGGGCCCAAGGACTTGGGCCATCTTGTACTGCTTTCCCAGGCCACAGCAGAGAGCTGGATAGGAAGTGGAGCAGCCGGGGCTCAAACTGATGCCCATATGGGATGGCAACACCACAGGCGGCAGCTTTACCTGCTATGCCACAGCGCCAGGCCCCTGAGTACAAATTAACAAAATACATGCAGATAAACACTCGGGAAACCATGGAACACAGAGGAATCAAAAGTTTTTAAAAAAGAAATATAAATTCAGAGGTGTTCTTTATTCAGGAGCAGCACAGACATTATTGTTTTTAATTAATTTATTAGCATGCATTTCATAAATACAAGTTGAGGAACATAGTAATTCTTCGTACCATACCCGCCTTCCCACCTATACTCTACCCCTCTTCCCTCTCCTGTTCTCAGTCTTGTTTTTTACTAAGATCTATTTTCATTTAACTTTATACACAAAAGATAACTGTATTCTAGGTAAAGAGTTCAATACTTTGTTTTTTTCTCAACAGTCCATTCAAGGGTTGTTCAAAGTAATCTCTAAGGTAATTTTGCTATGATACACATATGGTTAGCTCTATGTTAAGTAAAGAGTTCAATGATTAAGACAAAAGAAAAAAACAATATTCTTCAACAGTTAAGGGCTATTCAAAGTCATGGCTTCTCAAAGTGACAATTTCACTTCTATGGGTTGCCTTTTAGATTCTCTATTATCACAGAACAGGGAGAAGATACGGCATTTGTCCTTTTGAGACTGGCTTATTTCACTACATATAATGTTTTCTAGTTTCATCCATTTTGTTGCAAATGACCAAATTTTTTTTTTGACAGGCAGAGTGGACAGTGAGAGAGAGAGAGAGACAGAGAGAAAGGTCTTCCTTTTCCGTTGGTTCACCACCACGCCCCCCCAATGGCCGCTGTGGCTGGCGCGCCAGGGCCGGCACACCGTGCTGATCCAAAGCCAGGAGCCAGGTGTTTCTCCTGGTCTCCCATAGGGTATAGGGCCCAAACACTTGGGCCATCCTCCACCGCACTCCTGGGCCACAGCAGAGAGCTGGACTGGAAGAGGAGCAATCGGGACAGAATCCGGTGCCCCGACAGGGACTAGAACCTGGGGTGCCAGCGCCGCAGGCGGAGGATTAACCTAGTGAGCAGCGGCACCGGCTGTTTTTTTTTTCTTTAGTGCTATGTAGTATTCCATGGAGAACACATCCTATAATTTCTTGTTTGTTTTTTAAGGAATACAAATTTCATAAGCACAACTTTAAGAATATAGTTACTCTTTTAAAAAAAGTTACTTATTTGAGAGTCAGAGGCAGAGAGAGAGAGAGGTCCTCCATCTGCTTGTTTACTCCCCAGATAGTCGCAACAAATGGTGCCATGCTGATCCAAAGCCAGGAGCCAGGAACTTCTTCCAGGTCTTCTGTATGGGTGCAGGGGCCCAAGGACTTGGGCCATCTTCTACTGCTTTCCCAGGCCATAGCAGGGATCTGGATCGGAAGTGGAGCAGCTGGGGCTCGAACTGGCGCCCATATGGGATGCCAGCACTGCAGGTGGTTTTATCTGCTATGCCACAGTGCTGGCCCTGGAATAGAGTTATTCTTCCCACTATGCCCATCCTCCCACCAGCACTCCCACCTTTCCTCATCCTCCCTCTCCCCTTCCCAGTCCCATTCTCCACTGAGATTCATTTTCAATTGGCTTTGTACACAGAAGACCAACTCTATATTAAGTAAAGATTTCAACAGTTTTCATACACACACACACAAAAAACTGTTTGAGAACTAGTTTCACAGTTAACTTTCATAATACAACTCATTAAGGACAGAGGTCCTGCATGGGGAGTTACTACACAGTGACTCCTGTCGTTAATTTAACAGTTAACATGCTTATGTATGATGTCAGTGAATAACTGATGCTCTTGACATGAGCTGCCTAGGTATGGAAGCCTTTGAATCTACAAACTCTGTCAGTATTTAGAAGGGCCATCAGCAAAGTAGAAGTTCTCTTCTCCCGTTAGAGAAAAGTACACCCTTCTTTGATGGCCACTCCTTTCTGCTGGGGTCTTATTCACAGAGATCCTTCATGTAGAACATTTTTTGCCACAGTCTCTTGGCTTTCCAAGCCTGAAATGCTCTCCTGGGCTTTTCAGTCAGACCAGGATTCTGACATCAGAGATTACTTTAAATGATTGTCATTCTATGAGTCTGCTGTGTGAACTGCTTCCCATGTTGGAACATTCTCTCCTTTTTAATTCTATTTATTATTATTGTCAGACAGTTTATCTTTATTTGTATGATCACTTTATCATTTAATCCTATCTATATGTTCACTTTAACACTTAAGATGGCATTTTTACCACCTAACTTAATGGGATTTAGGGTCCCTTAGTAAGTTTTTAAACTGTATCCTTAGAAGTAAGTCTGTAGGAATGTGTGCAGAGCTATTCAGCTGTACAGTTACAAACTTCCTTGTCGCTCCCCCACTCGCGGAGGAATGACACCGGACCGGACACTGTTCTCTTTCCCTGGTCCTTCCTGGGTTTGCTGCCGCTCCCCCGCTTTTGCAGAGGAGCGGCACCTGCGAGCTCTCCAACCAACTCTCTCAGGGGGAACGGCCACACATATTGTCTCTCTCCCCCTTTTAAGGGGTTGGGCCAGGAATTAGCTAATTAATGAAGCATCTGTGTAAGATTTGTTTACTCTCTCAGCACCATATGATGGGAGATCAGATGCATAGAGTTAGTCTTAATAGTCTCAGTGGTCTAGTCTAGTCTCGGTAGTCTCAGTACTTATTTCGCCATGTTGCAGGAGACAGGCCCTGCTCCCCACACTTCTCTCTCTGTTATTCCACTTTCATTTTTTACTGAGCTCCATCTTCAGTTGACTTTATACACATATGATTGACTCTATGTTAAGAGTTCAACAAATAGTATGAAGAAAAAAAAAAAACTGTTCCTCGGACAGTCAAGACAAGGGCAGCTCAAGTCATAGCTTCTCAGAGTGTCAATTTCACTTCTACAGATTTTGTTTTAGGTGCTCTATTCTCACTTATCAGGGAGAACATATGGTATTTGTCCATTTGGGACTGGCTTATTATACTGAGTAAGATGTTTTCCA